TCTAGAAGGGGAAACTCTGAAGATGTAGGCTCCAGAGGACAAGCTTCTGGAGGTGATTATGAAGGTGGTACTTCTGAAGATGGTGTTTCTGGACAAGGTCCATAAGCTAATGTTGTTCCTATTTCTGGAGAAGTTTCAGAACGAGTTCATAGACCATAAAGAATCAGACAGACACCAAGACGATTTGCAAAGTTTGACATGTTGCGAGACACCAAAGTTGACTCAGAGGGAGAAGTCACTCAGTGTGCCGCGTAGTAGACTCTGAACCATTGGGTACTGAAAAAGCTCTCAAGAAGAAAGTATGGATGAATGTCATGAAAGAAGAACTTGAGGCTATAGAAAGAAACAAAACTTGAAAGCTAACTAAGATTTCAGACAAGAAGAAAGCCATCAACGTCAGATGGGTTTTCAAGATAAAGCTTAAGCCAAATGGATTAATTGGAAAACACAAAGAAAGGCTAGTGGTTAGAGGTTTTCTTCAAAAACCTGGGCTAGATTACTTTGAGGTGTTTGTGCCTGTAGCTAGACATGAAACAATTAGACTCATGATTACTTTATTTACAAATAGAAATTGGCCTCTGATGCATTTAGATGTGAAGTCTGCATTTATGAACAGTTCATTAGAAAAGGAATTATACGTGTCACAACCTCTTAGTTTTATGGAAAAGAATCAGGAAGGGATGGTGTACAAGTTACATAAAGCTCTGTATGGATTGAAGCAAGCACCCAAAGCTTGGAATTTGAAGATTGATTCATTTTTTAAGAAACAAGGTTTTCAGAAGTGTGAGATGGAATATGGAGTTATGTGCAACATTCTGGAGGCAATATGATTCTGGTGTGTCTTTATGTTGATAACATATTGCTTACAGGAAATTGTCTATAAGATATAACCAAATTCAATGAGGTGCTGATGAATGAGTTTGAGATGCCAGATATGAAAATTATGGTATATTTTCTAGGGATGGAGATTATGTACTCTAAGAAGAGTATCATTTTGCATCGGCTACTTTTGAAGAAATTTAAGCTGCAAAATTGTAAAGTTGCTATTACACCATTAGAAACCAATCATAAATTGTATTGTGACTCTGATGGTGAAGATATGGATGCTACAACCTTCAAACAACTAGTTGGTTCTCTAAGGTATTTGTGTAATACCAGACCTGATATTTTTTATGCAGTTGGATTGGTTAGTAGGTTCATGAGTAAACCTAAGTGGTCCTATTACCAAGCTGTTGTCAGGATTCTGAGATATATCAAGGGAACTATAAAGTTTGGAGTACTATTTCCTTCTGGAAGAAAGACAGATTCAGAGTTGATGAGTTACTCTGATTCTGATTGGTGTGGAGATAGAGTTGGTAGAAGAAGCACTTCTGGATACTTGTTAATGTTTATGGGAGGTTCCATTTCTTGGTGTTCTAAGAAGCAACCCGTTGTTGCTGTATCAACGTGTGAATCTGAGTACATTGCAGGTGCTGTAACTGCATGTCAAGCTGTGTGGCTTTTGAATTTATTACAGGATCTGAAGATTAAAGTAGACAAGCCTCTAAAATTGATGATTGATAACAAGTATGCAATCAATCTTGCCAAGAATCCAATACTGCTTGGGATAAGCAAGCATATTGAGACAAAATATAATTTCTTGAGAAGTCAAGTCTAGAATGGAGTACTATAAATTATGCATTGTAGCATCCAGAAGCAGCTGACAGATATTCCAACAAAGACAATCAAGACGGATCAATTTCTTCGCTTAAGGAATGGAATTGGTGTAGTTAGTTTTGATTAGAAATTCTAAATTAAGGGATGGTATTGAAGAGTAATTTAGTATTTCCTAGTTTGTACCTTTTAACTTAGTCATTAAGTTTATTTTATTAGGGCATATATGATAATTTACCTTTTGTATAAATAGACTAGTCATACATGTCATTTATAACAACAACCCTTTATTCTTTCATACTTTTGCATCCGTCATTTATTCTCTCATTATTTTCTGTTATAATTGATCATTGTGCACTAACAAGTGACAAGTTTCAAATAATATTTTCATATAGGAGAACAAACGAGAAGAAATTAAGGCAAAATGAAGATGACGATGACAAAATATTGAGTAGGATTTCATGCGTGCAAAAATAAACACCGTTAGTGGAAATTAGACTAAAATAATTTATATGATACATTTTAAATAAGTAAGGAATCAAATTGATCATTTTAGTGGGAATTAGACTAAAATAAACCCTAAATAATTACCCTAGATCCTCTTTGTTTGCAGAGGTTTCAGCAGTGAATAAGTACTTGAAAATTGCAACTCACCGTGATTGGAATAAGCTTTAAATTGAAACAAATTGTTTAATGATCATCAAATCTTCAATCAACCCACTTTTAACCCCTTAGAGGCTTAAAAACATTTGGAATATCTGTTTAAATAATTTTAGCAAAACAAACACTATTATAACCCACATTTATTGAGAAGAAATTTTTTAAACTGAATTCTTTTCAAATATAATTGTAAGTACAAGTTTCTCCATAGTTTGGATTCCATTTTTATAGAGATTAGAAATATTTTTGTAAAAATAAATTAAACATATATTTCTTTAGATTTTTCTCTTTTTGACAGGGCTAATTTAATTCTCTTTTTTTGTAACATTAACATCACTTTTATATTAATTTCTCGAGACTTTATTAAATAACAAAAAAAGTTTTTTATTTCTTTCGTATTTTTGTAATTAAAAAAAATTATTTATTAAAAACTAAAAAATGAAATGTTGGAAATTCAATCAATTTTGTTTAGTAAAATTTTGATAAAAACATTTTTCATCACTATTAGTATAGTTCGATTCGAGGGTCACTTCTAACATCAAATGTGTAATGCTTCAGATTGTTTTCAAGGCTACCGACTGACTCCACAAATCAATACATGTCATTTCATTATATTTTGTCTTCATTCACACGTTTTATGGGAAACTTTCTTAGAAGACCACCATCTAAATACTACTCCAAGTCCATCACGCTTAACTTTTGAGTTCTTATCTGTTAAACTACCGAAAAGAAGATGTATCTTATTGGTATATATAGTACCAATTAATCCTTATAAGGTTTTTTTCAACCATCTGTCCCTTCCCTGCACAGTCTCAAAATCTCTGTCATTCCGATGTGAATTCAGTTTTTCTCTAGAACCTGCTAGAAGTGTCTCATTGTCATGCCTCGTACACTGATAACCACTCTGCCGCTCTTAGGTGTTACATGTAACCACTCTCTGTCCTCTTTAGCCTCAAGCATTACAAAGTAATTTCAATCACTTCCGATTATAATTGCGAAGGATCGAACTATGATTTTCACTATCAAATTCAACGTTAATCACCCTTAAATCAATAAATCATCGACAAAAACTTTAATAGAAGCAAAATAGAGGATATAATGTTTTTAGATATTTACTTAATTAGAAAGCAAAATGTTTAAAATAATAAACATAAAGCACCCTTGCAATAATTTGACAAGGTTCCAAGTGGTAATTACAAATTAGTATTCTAATAACTAAATTATCATTTTTATTGTTAAGAAGAAAACACTCATTGAGACAAAGACCCCTTATTCACTCTCTCTCTCTCTCCAACTCTTTGTCTCTCCAAGTCTCTCATTCTCTACGCGATCTCTTTCACTGTCTTTCAATTGCGAATATTTTCACCAAAACCACTACAAAATCCTTCTCCATTTCTCACATTTTAGCTTTTCTCTGTCTCTTTTGAGCCTCACTCGTGAAGCTCCGAACCACTTCATCCTCAGATTCGAGCTCAAAATTACACACCGGATTTTCACTTCAGATTCAGTGATTTGATTAATTGAAGTAAGTTTCCTCCTTTTTAACATTTTGAGTTACCCTTTTGCATGATTTCACTGTATGATCAACTGGGTAGTTGATTTGACTGGTTTCTTTGCATAATCATGTGTTGGTGGATCTGTGTTTTTTCATAATGAGTTGGTACTTTAGCTTGGGATCCTAAGAATTTTGGTTTAGTTAGAGTGATTGAATTTGAAATTTTTGATTTTTAGTCTAATATTTTTCCGGGTTTATAGGAATCTGAGTATTGTAACTGAAACGCAGAAAAAAAGTTGATTATTATTTTTTAATTCAGAGCTAGGTGTCCGTTACTGTCATGATCTTCGTACAAATTTATGGTCAAATAATTTCATATTTTTTCACACCCTCTTTTGGGTTAGACTTAAGAGTTAGGATATGATGTGGGTTTTGACTTTTGAAGTTGGAAAGTAAGGAAATTTATATATTTATAAATTAGGGAAGTAAGAAACTATTATTATTAATTAATTTAAATGACTCTTAGGGGATTTGAACTTAGTCCTTTGACTCTTTTCCATGTAGTTACTTGAGCTGATAACAAGTAGTGGATGTTTCAAAGTAATTTCCAGTTTTGGGAATTTTACAATCTACATGCAAGGGAAGTTTAGCAATAGATGCCATATTGCTTCCTTTTATAGCTAGTAGGAAGTTCAGAGATTGATGTTTAAGTCTCTCTCTGGTGATGGAGTAGAGTTATCGAATTTAAAATGCTTAGTTTAACCGTTGTCATATTAGATCGGGGGTGTATGTGTTTCTGGTAACACGCACAGGGTTAGCGTGTATGACTATTAGTTGTGTAAACTAAGTATATCATTGAGTTCATCTATCGACCAAAACAACAACTGCAGTTTATCACTTTAGACAGTCTTGTGACCAACTTAACGATTAAGATTCAATACATATGCTTATATTTTTCTGATTAAAAGTATACTTTTTTTTTTCTGCTGCAGGTTTTTTTTGCCATAACTTTCAATATCTGATTCCTTTCTCACTCTAACACTACTGCTTTTGGAAATTGGGATTCTCGTATGGCTGGACCATGGCTTTTAAGAATCTGTCTACTGATGTGAAATGATAGATTTTTTAAGCTATTATCAGTGTATCCTTCTGAGAAACCTGCTTGTGAGATCTCAATTTATAAAGTACAAACATGCCTACATGGTGGGGAAAATCATCATCAAAAGAAACTAGGAAGAAAGCAGGTAAGGAAAGTATTATTGACACATTGCACCGGAAATTTAAATTTCCATCTGACGGTAAATTAAGCACTAGATCTGGAGGATCTCGTAGACGAAGCAATGACACAATTTCAGAGAAAGGGGATCTATCTCCATCCGGATCAAGATCTCCTTCACCTTCCAAAGTAGCAAGGTGTCAAAGTTTTGCTGAAAGGCCTCATGCTCAACCACTTCCACTTCCTGGTCTACACCCTTCAAGTGTAGGTCGAGTGGATTCTGAAATTAGTATATCAGCAAAATCAAGACTGGAAAAGTCCTCCAAGTCATCATTGTTTCTTCCACTTCCGAAACCTGGATGCATACGCTGCGGGACAAATCCTGCAGATTTGGATGGAGATATGGTCAACCCTTCAGTCTTCAGTGATTGCTCTGCTGATAGTGATGAGCCAGCAGACTCACGCAATCGTAGTCCTCTGGCAACTGACTCCGAAACTGGGACTAGAACTGCTGCTGGCAGTCCTTCCAGGTTGCATCTTCAAACCATAATAAACTTTCAGATTGTACATGTTTTGCTTACCAAAATTATTTGTGATTGATTGCATTAGAAAAATATATTTTTTCTACTTTACTCAAAAGTTTTCCTGTTTCTGAAGCTTGATGCTCAAGGATCAATCGCCTGCTGTTGCCCAACTGAATTCGAGAGAAGTAAAAACACCGACAAACATTCTAAGTAATCATACATCTTCTACTTCACCTAAGCGAAGGCCTTTACGACACCATGTTCCAAATCTTCAGGTTCCTCCTCATGGTGTCTTCTACAGTGGTCCCGACAGTTCCTTGTCAAGTCCATCAAGAAGCCCGTTGAGGGCATTTGGTACAGATCAGGTGTTGAATTCTGCATTTTGGGCTGGAAAGCCATATCCAGAGATCAATTTCGTCGGATCTGGCCACTGCTCTAGTCCAGGTTCTGGTCACAACTCGGGGCATAATTCAATGGGAGGGGACATGTCGGGACCATTATTTTGGCAACCAAGTAGGGGTAGCCCTGAGTATTCTCCGGTACCTAGTCCTAGAATGACTAGCCCTGGTCCAAGCTCAAGAATTCAGAGTGGAGCAGTCACACCTATTCATCCTAGAGCAGTGGGAACACCGACTGACTCACAAACAGGATGGGTTGATGAGGGAAAACAACAGAGTCATCGTTTGCCTCTCCCTCCTTTAACAGTTACCAATATCTCGCCATTCTCTCATTCTAATTCTGCAGCAACATCTCCATCTATGCCAAGAAGTCCAGCTAGAGCAGATAGTCCAATGAGCTCTGGTTCACGTTGGAAAAAAGGGAAGCTGCTTGGCAGAGGCACGTTTGGACATGTCTATATTGGCTTCAATAGGTATATACTTCGGATTGAATGTTCACAATTTCATTATGGTTCTTTTAAAATAATTTCCTAAATATGCGTCTCAACAATAATTATTTGGTTGGAAATGTTTGTCTCTTCTAGTGAAAGTGGTGAAATGTGTGCAATGAAGGAGGTTACTATGTTTACAGATGATGCCAAATCTATGGAAAGTGCTAAGCAGTTAATGCAGGTAAAACGATACCTTCTAAATCTAGCAAAGTTTGGTAAATAATTAATTTTCGTCAGGTGCGGTATTATATTTTGTAGTCTTGAATTTAACACAGCTTTCAAAATCTAACTACAAGATTTCTCACAGGAAATTCATTTGTTGAGCCGTTTAAGACATCCAAATATTGTGCAGTATTATGGTTCTGAAACAGTAAGTTCTCTCATTTTCCTGTGCATGATCTTCTACTAGTCACATGAATATTAGTTTCTGGAAGTTTACCTAACAATGACCAATATAGTAGTAGAAATTTACTAGCAGAATTTGTTTCTATATACTACTTACATAAGTTTTTGAATCATCCCTTGCACAGGTAGACGACAAGCTTTACATATACCTTGAGTATGTATCTGGAGGCTCCATACATAAACTTCTTCAAGATTATGGGCAGTTTGGTGAACTAGCTATTCGTAGTTATACTCAACAAATTTTGTCAGGGCTTGCTTATTTACATGCTAAAAATACTCTTCATAGGTGAACTATGGCATCTATTCATAATTTCAACGTTTTAAATTTTGCTGCTGCCACCTAATGATTAGTTTTTTAAAAACTGATATATCTGTCTCTGAAATTCTGTTTACATGTATAGGGACATCAAAGGAGCAAACATACTGGTAGATCCAAATGGCCGGGTCAAGGTTGCGGACTTTGGCATGGCAAAACATGTAAGCTTAGAGATGATAACTGTCCAGTATCCATTATATCTGCATTTAAGCTGATTTGAGTGAGCCAGATATGAAAATTAAATTCTGTAGATCATATTCTATATTGTCCAGAACATTGCATGATTACTCCTGTTTGTTATACTTATTTATTACTTGATTTGCAGATAACAGGGCAATACTGTCCTTTGTCATTCAAAGGAAGTCCTTATTGGATGGCTCCTGAGGTTCTACTTTTCTTCTTTTTTTGGTTTAGTTCTTTAGATTTTAATTGCATATTTGTTGTCACTCAGTATCTTTGCTTTTTGATGATTTAGGTTATAAAGAATTCCAAGGAGTGCAGCCTTGGTGTGGATATATGGAGTCTTGGGTGCACAGTTTTGGAAATGGCTACAACTAAACCTCCATGGTCTCAGTACGAAGGGGTTAGTAATTCATGTATATACATGTAATTTTATATTTAGAAAGACCTGAAACATGGCAACTTTTTACAATTATTTTTTAATGTTTGATGTATTTGCATGTTTCTATAACAGGTTGCTGCCATGTTCAAAATTGGTAACAGCAAGGAGCTCCCAACAATCCCGGAACATCTCTCAAATGAAGGAAAAGATTTTGTTAGGAAATGTCTACAACGTAATCCACGTGATCGCCCTTCGGCAAGTGAATTATTGGACCACCCTTTTGTAAAAGGTGCTGCACCTTTGGAAAGACCTATTGTGGTTCCTGAAGCTTCAGATCCTATTTCTGGAATTACACACGGAACAAAAGCTCTGGTGCGTAAGCCATTTCCTCCTTGAATCGTTTGAAGCTCAGTTGGATTTGCATGATTGTCCATGTTACCATTTGGTGTTTGTTTGTAGAACAAACTACAGAACAGTCTACTATGATTCATGAATATGTCATGTGGACTTTCCATTATTCACATTTCTCATGGTTTTTAAATAATTGCACACATCTTTGATCAATTCTCAGGGCATTGGACAAGGAAGAAATCTGTCTGCTTTGGATACAGATAAACTCTTTATTCATTCTTCCCGGGTTTTGAAAAGCAATCCTAATGAAAGGTACCTCTCTCTCACACAACCACACACTCAAATGCATGATATTGCCAATGGTAATCTGAAATTATTTCATTAATTTCCAGTGAAACCCATATTCAAAGGAATATATCTTGCCCAGTCTCTCCCATCGGAAGCCCACTTTTGAGGTCAAGATCACCACATCAGAGAAGTGGGAGATTGTCTCCTTCTCCTATATCTAGCCCTCGGACTGCTTCAGGTGCTTCCACGCCTCTCACTGGCGGCGGCAGTGGTGCCATTCCATTCAGTAATCACTTAAAACAGTCTGTTTACTTTCAAGAGTGTCTTGGAAGCTTGCCGAAATCCTCAAACTACATTAACGGCTCCTCTCATCATGACAATATCGACATTTTTCGAGGAATGCAAATCGGGTCTCATATTAAATCAGAACTCGTCTCCTCCGAAAATGATGCTCTCACTAAGCAGTTTGTAAGGTCTCCTCATCCAGAGCCATATGACTTTCAATCGGTCTTGGCCGATCGTGTTGGCCGGCAGCTGCTGGGAGATCATGTCAAGATTAACCCATCATTTGATCCAAACCCCAGCTCGTCGTTGCTCAACCGAACAAATGGTTTATGACATCAGGAATCTTCTCCGGCCACTAATCTAATCAGCTTTTGAAGTTTCCAATCTTACCCTTCAGTTACACAGATCTGTTCATTGTTATATTTGTAAGGATATAATAATACAATAAGGAGTCAGTATCTGTGTAAATAAAATTGCATAGTCTTGTATGAGGCACAGAAGTGCATTTTCCATGGCTTCAGGCTTGGGCTTATGGAGTTAAATCCTTTCAATGTCACAACAAGAATCCTTTCCTCCTAAGAATCTGAGGGTTAAGACAAAAAACATTAAATGTTCTGATTTCAAACAAATGCTGACTTATTGGACAGGAGGAACTTGTTTTTGTATGCATAATTTTCAAGATGCAGCATCAATCAACATCTGAGAAGCAAGGAGCATAGATTTTTCATGTGCTAAAGATACTAGAAATGACATGCAATTTTTTGGAACACCATATAATGTCAGAAAAGAGTTTGAAATGACAACTTTTAACATGTAGACTATTTTTTTTTTTTTTTTGGGAGTTAAGACATTGTTGTACAGAAGATGGAAACTTTATTGGTGGCAAGTCTAGAATTGGTAGAAGCTCATGCATTTTATGTTTATTTGCTGGCTCAATTGTATGTTACTGTTATTGTATCTTTTCTGTACATTTCAACTGTAAAATTGAAGAAATATGATCTTGTGATCCTCTCATTGGTTTAATGTATTTGTTTCTTCCAATATTAGCTGACTTTACAAATTGCAACTAGAACTTGTGAGTTTCAAGTTGTTCTTAAATGATGGTTTTGGTATGTGGCTTCTCAAGAAGCCACTGGTGAATCAAAGAGGAAACAAAGTAAATCATATGTAAAGAGGAAATATCATATGGCATCATTACTCTTTACATATGATTAACTTTTAAGATTTTTCTATATCTGCATTAACTGCAATTAAAACTAATAAAATATATATGATGGCTTTTAATTTATTGTCTGCGTGCTAGGAAACGGGGTTTGCAATATCATATGTAAATATATATGATGGCTTTTAATTTATTGTCTGCATGCTAGGAAATGGGGTTGGCAATATCATATGGTATGATATATGTCTTGGGAAAATTTCTTTGACAATGACATGATATACATTCACCTTATGAAGTCATTTTGTGCTTATTGTTCATTAATTTATCATTAGCCAAATTTCTTTGACAATGACATGATATACACATTCATCTTATGAAGTCATTTTGTGCTTCTTTGTTCGTTAAGTTCTGATTAGTGTATCATAAATTATGCTTAATTGCACTTCACTGTATCTCCAGATTTCGGAGGTGCATTTTAGAATAATTTGTGTGGGTAAAATAGAAGTGTTTTACTTGCAACGCCTTTAGGCAAAATAGGAGTGTTTTATTTGCAGTGTCTTTGTTGGTATGATTTTAGGTGCGTTCGAAAATATATTTTCAGAGACAATAAGAATATTTTCAAGTTTTCAGAGACGTGAGACGCACGATATGATATCGAAAAAGCATTTTCCTAAAAGAGGAAATGACAAAAGGGTTTTATTATAATGTGAAAGGAGTTAGGAATCATGACTTTTACCTTTTAAAAGGTTTAACATTTATTGGTGTTGCATCATTGACAATGTTAACTCCCAACAAAACCAACATATGAAAGTTTGAGACTGGGTGGTAAGTGTTGAGAATGTAATTTTCTTTTGTCGAAGCAACATGTTGTTCAACAAAAGGGTGTGTCAAATTAGTCTGTAAATATGTCGAGTTGTATGTGTCAAAGTGTCGAAGCAGGTTGCTTCCCACAGTATTTCAACTTAGGTCTAAAATATGTATTTTGAGATTTTATAGTTTTGGATTTTGGCTTAGGAAACAAACAACCTCATTATAAATAGAGGGAGTAACCTTTATTTTGTAACAACATATATTCACAGAATTTGCAGTTGCAAGTGAATAATATTTTTCCACAGTTTGTGGGTAGAGAGAAACTCTATAGAAAATCACCATCTTCTCTTTATTTTTGTAAATCTTAATTTTTTCTCCATAGGTTAGGTGAATTTCCAACATCTGGTATCAAGAGCTCCAGTTGAACGATTCAAGGTAAGAAAATCACGATGGCAGTGAATCATCCAAACAAACATTATCCAGCAAGTCTTGCAATTCTGAAAGTCGATAACTATGAGAATTGGTGCAAGCAGATGAAGGTTGTGTTCTGTTGTTCAGATCTTTGGGATCTTGTGAAAGAAGGATTATAACCGCTTGCAGAAGAAGCAACAAACAAAGAAGAGGCATCACATAAATAATCGAAGAAGAAGAATTATAAATATCTCTTTATAATTCATCAATGTCTGAGTTCAGACAATTTCGAAAAGGTTAGTGACATAGAATCTGCGAAAGATGCTTGAGAAATTTTGGAAAAGTCTTCTGGAGGTGAAGAAAAGGTGAAAGAGGTGAGGTTACAAACTCACAAAAGAACGTATGAATTGCTTCATAAGGAAGAAAGTGAAAGCATCACAGATTTCTTCACTAGGGTTACGAAACTGGTGAATCAAATCAAGGTATGTGGAGAAGTGTTGATAACAAGATCTGTTGTTGCAAAGATCTTGAGGTCTTTGGCTCCAAAGTTCGATCATGTAGTGGTAGCCATAGAAGAATCGGAGAATTTGTCAATATTGATAAAAGAAGAGCTTCAAGGAAAGCTTAAATCTTATGAACAAAAAGAATGATTGAGATAGCTGCAGGAAAGTCGAAGAGTGATGTGACTTTGCAGGCGCAGTCAACAAGATACAAGAAAGGCAAAGGAAAGTGGTTCAACAATAGAGATAGAGGAAACTACAACAATTCGACTTGTAGAGGAGACAAACAAGAATGATTTGTGTCGAATAAGATAATACCTTTATACCAAGGCAACCAAAGAGGTGGTGCTAGAGGTAGAGGAGGATGTGATGGTCGAAAATCTGACAAGAGTCACAATCAGTGTTTCAATTATCAGAAGTATGATCACTATTCTAGTGATTGTCCAGAAAAATGAAAAAATTAAGAAAGAGATGAAAATTTTGCAAAACATGAAGAAGAAGTAATGATGCTGATGGTCACAACTAGAGATGAAGAGAGATTCAAGGACCAATGGTACTTTGACTTAGGATGCTCATCACACATGTATGAAAGAAAAGATTGGTTTGTTAACATAAAGCCCTCAATGAAGAATATGGTGAAATTCACAAATGACAATACTCTAAAATCTGAAGGTATTAATGATGTTTTGATTACAAGGAAAGATGGTAAGAGGTTATTAATTTCCAATGTGTTATACATACCAGGCATGAAGAGCAATTTGCTCAGTATATGACAATTGGTCGAAAAGAATTATAAAGTGTTTATCAAAGACAAGACGATGAGAGTCATCGACGTAAATGAAAGGTTAATCTTGAAGGATCCTGTGTCTCAGAATAGAACCTTCAAGATTAAACTAAATGTGATAGAGTACAAGTTCCTTGCAGTTGCAGCTAGCAGAGATGAGTAAATATGGCATTATCGACCAAGCCATCTCAACTTCAAAGACATCAGAGATTTGAAAAGAAGAAAAATGGTTTCAGGACTGTCAGAAATCGACATTCCAAACGAGGTATGTGAGGAATGTGTGAAGGAGAAGCAACACAAGAATAACTTCAGCAAGGATGCAAGAAGCAATTCGAAGGCTATTTTTGAAATCATATACTCTGATGTATGTGGACCAATTCAGGTGGATTCAACTAGAGGTAACAAATACTTTGTCACATTCATGGACGATTTTTAGTAGAAAACTGTGGACTTACCTAATCAAGAAGAAAAGTGAAGTGATCGAGGTATTTGCCAAGTTTAAATCTATGGTCGAAAGATAAAGTGGTCAAAAGCTCAAGATTTTAAGGACTGATGGTGGTAGAGAATATGTGTCGAAAGACTTTGACATTTTTGTGTGAGAAAGAAGAGATTATGCATGAGGTAGTGCCATCATATACTCCACAACAAGATGGAACTGTAGAAAGGAAGAATCAAACCATCATGAATATGGTGAGAAGTTTGTTGAAAGACAAGTATTTACCTAAAGAGTTTTAGGGAGAAGCTATGCTGACTGCAACATACATTTTGAATAGATGTCCGACGAAGAAGCTAGAAGGAATTACTCTAGAAGAATGTTGGCCTGGTGTAAAGCCTAGATTGATTCATTTGAAACTGTTCGGATCCATATCACATATACGTGCTCCAGATCAATTGAGAAGAAAACTTGATGACAAGTCGAGTTAGATGATCCTAGTAAGATATCATTCGACAGGAGGTTATAAGTTGTTCCACCTAGTGAAAAATTAGATTGTGATCAGTAGAGACGTGATCATATATGAACTTAAGGAATGTGATTGGACTGAAAATGTAAACAAGGATTTAGTGAGAATCTTTTGTGAAGAACCAACCACTGAAGTCGAAAGAGAAAAAGTTCAACAGAAAGAAGGGAGAGGTGATGAGGAATTGAAGCCCATCAAAGTCAATAACACTTTGTTACTTGTAGAATTGCCTCAAGATAAGAAGGAGATTGATGTCAAGTGGCTATACATGGTGAAGTTAAATCCCAGAGGGGAAGTAACTCGACACAAGTCTAGACTTGTGGCGAAAGGATTTCTTCAGAAAGAAGGAGTCGACTTTGATGAGGTTTTTGCACTTGTTGGTAGAATCAAAATTATTAGGTTGGTTGTTGTTATAGCCAAAATGAACAGTTAGCACATATGTCAAATGGACGTAAAATGTGAATTCCTAAATGGACCCTTAGACGAAGAAGTTTATGTTGCACAATCAGTTGGATTTGTGAAACAAGGCAAAGAGAGAAAGGTGTACAAGTTGCATAAAGTCCTATATGAACTTAAACAAGCTCAAAGATCTTGGAATAAGAAGATTGATAGTTTCTTAAGAGAGAAGGGATTTGTGAAGTGCACAACTGAGCATGGAGTATATGTAGAGGCAATAATGATTTTCTTGTACTATGTCTTTATGCTGA